TAATTTTTGGTATTCGCAATACCTTATTCTACTCGAGAAAAATATCGTTCTTCCGTAGTCGGTACTCGTATAACATCACTAACTGTCAGTCATTGTGGTCATTGTCTATTTTATTCAATAGTTAAATATATTTTGTGTAAAATTATTGCTGTAGCGCAGATTATCATAAATAAAATTGTGAGAAATCAGCTGAATTGAAGAAAAGGTAAAAAATGTTCGTAGAAACATGAAAATAAAACAAAGAAAAGCAATAAGTTTTTATGACCATATAAAAGTGGTCAAAATTGAATTAGAGGCGTGATGGCTGTGGTAGTAGCTGTGAAAAATGAAGTACGCTTTAAAAATAATAAAACGGGATAGGAAAAACTGGTTAAAGGGGAGGAAGGCGAAAGTGCTGATTATTCAACGTCGTGGAAAAAGCCACCAAGCGGTGTTAAGTGTTACTCCAACAATCAATCGTTTCAATTGGAAGTTTAACGAAAATATACGCTTGACTGCTGTAAATTTACATTGTGTAAATAATTTAATTAAGAAGACCTCGTCAGTAAACACATTTTCTCCATTTTTTATCCTTGTACTACACTCGCTGTGCTGTGTAAATTTCCAGAACATTATTAATTTAATTTTTTTTTTAATTTACGTGTTCTACACTCATTACCATACTCTGTACATGGTCCACGTAAATCCATAGATTACGAATAACTCTTATCTTGAAAAGAAACTGTGCATATATGTACATATGTATATGTAAGTATGTACATAGTATAAGGGTTCGCTTCCACGGTCATTCATTATTTAGTTGTTCATTCATTTCTAAACTTTCTAAGTTGACCGAATGGACAGCATACAGGCATATACATATATAAATTTATGTTGATTTTATTGCAGCATATCACAAAAATTATAATTTTCCGACATTTTCGTTTCTTATACCTACTACTTGCCTTTTTTTATAAATTTTATGAAAAGCTTAATGTACAATATTACTAATTATTACAATGCTTACAGCTATTGTTTGGTGATCATTGAGAAGTAGCCGTCAATTGACTCATCGATCGTCGTATTATTCATTCTCTCATGTACATATATTTGTATTTCCAATGGATGTGTGTATGCACATACATATGTATATCTGAGTGCAGGTCTGTAAATGCAATTTAAGGCAGTTATTTTTCTTTTCTCTGTTGGCAGTGTCCATTGATATTTGCCCTTCGCCAGAAAGCATTCTTTACAATTTTTTATGATATTGTATATGCATAAGTGCATATAAATACATACATATTTATGTAAATGGAGACATACACATACATACATACATATTAATTTGTTGTTCTACTTCATATTCTACTTATTTTGTATTATAGAAATTTATTATTGAAAGAGATAATTTTATTTTATAGAAGCTAGGGAACAATAATGTTGACTCAAACCGAAATGATGCCAGCACCTCCGCAAGCAATTATATACTTACAAATGTACATAATTAGGTTATTTACTAGTTTTTTTTTTATAATTTCAGGCTTATCAACGAAACGATACTCACATAGTCCACTGCAGATTAAAGCTTGACAGTAATCACAACGAAGTAAGCAGCTATGGCATCGCGCAAAAAGTCTTTGCTGAAAGTAATCATTCTGGGTGATAGTAGCGTCGGCAAGACATCACTCATGAACCAATATATAAATAAACGTTTTTCAAATCAATACAAGGCAACGATCGGCGCTGATTTCTGTACAAAAGAAATAATTGCTGATGACCGAGTAGTCACAATGCAAGTGAGTGCATTCAAATTATAATCATTACAATTTGTTTTAGCAATTAGATTTATACAATAATGGCTCATTTATTTCAAAGATTTGGGATACTGCTGGACAAGAACGTTTTCAATCCCTGGGCGTGGCATTTTATCGTGGCGCTGATTGTTGCGTACTCGTCTATGATGTCACATCGCCAAACTCGTTTAAAAATTTAGACTCATGGCGCGATGAATTCTTGATACAGGCCAGTCCCAGAGATCCTGACCACTTTCCCTTCGTTGTGCTGGGCAATAAGGTTGATATGGATAATCGACAGGTAATTTTAAAAAGGCAAAAAGCATAAAAAAGTATTACCAATGTATATTACTCGTTCGGTTTAAATCCGTATGGTTAGGTATCGACGCGACGTGCTCAACAGTGGTGTCAGTCCAAAAACGATTTGCCATACTTTGAAACATCCGCAAAGGACGGCACTAACGTTGAATTGGCATTCCAAACAATTGCCAAGAATGCGCTTGCTCAGGAAGCCGAGGTGAGTACAATTGGAATCATTGAAGTGTACTTAAATGTAATTGCTCTATCATTAAAACCCACAGGTTGAGCTATACAATGAATTTCCTGATCAAATCCGCCTTAATACCGATCGTAACAGTCGTAATGGAAATGCTGATAACTGCCAGTGCTAATGTAATTACAGCAAAAATTATATTAGCCCCACCGGCAAGGATATGAAATGGTGAAATGACCGCAAGTGAAAAAATAAATAAATTCAAAACGCGATAGCGGCTATAGATAAAATTGCGAACAGCAAATGGCGCAAATAGAGATGCAATTGGATTAGTAGTGAAAAGAAAAAACACAGAACGAAAATACCTAAAAAACATATATTTGCATAGTTTCGCAACTAAACGTAATTTAAATATACTTATAAATATAAATATTAAAATAATACTACACACAATTATACATATATGATAAACGATAATATGATACATAATGCAAAATGTTATACATTAAGTAAAACAATTTACCAAGCGCATTACATTTAACAATAAATTTAAAAAAGTAAATGCAGTTTTTTAAGCCGATCAAAACAACACTAATGAACAGGAGAAATAATTTTTCTCCGCGTTAAACTCTCGCCAAACTGGAATCTGTAGTAAATGTAATAAATAACACACTTTTCTGGCCTTGAAATCCCTTTTTAAATTAAAAAGCTTTTTTTTTATGTGACCATTGTAAATTGAGCCTATTACTGATTTGTTAACAAAAAATTATGAATGGGATGTAGTATTTAGTAAAAATTATCTCCAATAAGCTATTGAATGCTGCAAATGCCAACAAAATGCTTATGCACTTAGGCCTGCAGGTGTTTATGCTGAAATGCTGCTGCGGCGTAGTCATCGTAAATTAGTTAAGCAGATACTGGTTATGCGGAGTAAATTTAAAACACGGATGTTTAATTCTTCAGTTTATATAAATTTATAAGTTGCCGAGTATTATGTTAATTTGGTTAATACAATGTTGCAATTTTAATACGTCATTGAACACGTGTGTATTTTTCTATCTATGTATTTATGTACATTTCAGTTTTTATTAAACACATGTAAGCTAAATTTAAAATATCTTTGAAATAAAGAACATTGATTAATAAAAAAAAAAGTATTTTGCTGGTAAACATACATATCGTCGTTTAAAGTTCAAAACCGCATATCAACAAAATGCAAAACCGCGTATCAATATAATGCAAAACGGCGTATGTGAGGTTGCATAAATTATTTTCTAGAGAGTAAAAACGTTCATATTTCAAAATGGTTCTCTTTGTTTTATCAAGCAATCACATTTCTGGCTAGTATATTTCAGGACGAATGGATAAGGATTAAGCCAAGAGTTTGTGTGAGCAAATTCAATTTTTGGCAGCCATTGTCAGTGACACGGTTTTGCACAATGACGATACGCGGTTTTGTACTTTAAACGACGATATGTATGTACGTATATATATGCGTCTACTGCTGCTGGAATAGCTTAAAACTATGGCTTTACATTTAGTGTAGACCAAGGTGGCGTTTACATAGCACGTGTGCTTGATAATGCTTAGGAATTACTGATTTAATATTTGTTGCTGTTGTAACAGCATACAAATTTCCAAAAGAGTTGTTTAAATCTGGGTTGTACCGATTACGAAGTCTCGGCTGTCGTTGGAACGTGACATTTTAAATATTTTGATGTACAATTTAATTTTGTTCAGTTGAAATTCATACTGTTCTAAATTTTAGATACTGATTGCTATAGCTTGCAAGTATATAAGCCCTGATTAACATGAGCAATTGGAATCGAAGTTGGTATAAGGCCGCTAAACTGAGTAAGGCGACTGAAGACATTTGACGGTGGACACAAGGACTAAATGCTGGGTATTTATCTAAATTCAGGTTCAATTTTGTGTTACAGCTTTTGTATACATATGTAATACCAGCACCTGCGCACATATGTACATTCTCTTAATTTGAGAGACCTGTCGATTAATATCGATAGACCATTTCCCATTGAACTTCAACTAATTGGAATACCAAGTGAGACATTGACCATTTTAACCGCTCGAACCCACAGCATTGACAAAACTCATCGTGTGACTATTGTCACAATTAATGCGCCTAAAACATAATATAGCGGGCGTTGAGTAATACATCAAGCCAAAGCATCAGTCTTTTTTAGTTCTAATTTATAATTGATGGAAATTTCTTATTTACACAACTAAGTTCGAATCAGGCTTTTAACCGTGGTTGCGCATATTTTACATTTCCATCAATTATAGTTTAGAAATAAAAGAGACTGATTGAGAGACAATTGTCACCATTAGAGAGCTTAACATAAATTTGCAGCATAGTATTAGGCGCAGTAGTAAATACAATAGTCAGCCGTTGAGTTTTGTCTTTGGCGTGGGAATAGGGCTGTAAGTACGTTTTAAAACCGAAATGTCCATGCATCCTAGTTTAACTCATAATTTTATTAAGTAATTTCAATGGTACCATTTGTCTACATTTTCAAATGCACACGAAATTAAATAGTTCTTTATAACTAAGCTTAAAAAACATACAAATGAACATTTCACAATATACATAATGCACATGTTTAGTAAAATCCTTTAATTTAAAATAACTATGTATGTCACATTGTGATAGCGGACATTGCATTAGCTTGCAAAATAACATGATAAATCTTGTTCACGTGTTAGTTTCCGCAATTCCTATATATTTGCCCACACACTTCAAAATAACTTTTCATTAAGCATTGATACAGTACATTAAAATATTAAAACTAAACTATTTAAAATCCATTTCGGCAGCGGGTGAATATAGCGTCGATGATCATTTGAAACCATTCTGTGGAATACTCGGAGTAATCAGCAGTGTGAAATAGCTTTATTTTGGCTTCCGTCGTTAGAGTTGAGCACAAATAGTAATTGATAACAGTTTCGGTTAGTTCTGCGTGGTAATTCCGAAGTGACCATTCAAGTACAGTTAAGCAATTTGAGTCATCCAGCATCCCGATAAGCATTTGCTGTAAGAATGTCTCCATTTCGCTAATTATGTAGACTCGCGCCATTTCGAAAGCTTCAAGTATAGCTTGATAATTACGTACATTTGGAATATTGTATTTTAGTTTTTGCGATCGTCGCACAATCAAGTTGAGAAAGTAACGTAAGCCGCTTACTGAACAAGTACGTAAATGTATTTCGCCTTCATTACGTTCTTTGAAATCACTATTTAACATAGTGTTGAATACCTCACTTGTATTGCACAGCAGATCCTTACTGAATTCGACTACTTGCTCCACATTGTCAGTGGCCGCAATGAGCGGATCATCGCTAGCACCTGTCGTGGCATTTTTTGTATGCACTACAAAACGCATATCACAAGTTTCGTGTAGTGGTTTTGATTCATTATCAACGAATTCTTCATATCGCTCGCCGTTGCGCATTTCACTGACGCGAGGTACTGAAATGCCAAGTGTATACTTAGACATTGCTGTTAAAGCATCGACTGCTTCTGCTGTGAATTCGTCACTTTTTTCGCTCAAAATTATTTGTAACAGCAAGCTGAGCGCATTTCCATCATTTAGGAACTGATATAATAAACGTTGACTTTTAATGATGTAGGCTACAGTGATTGCGGCACGTTTTTGAGCGTATTCATCACCACTGCGAAGAAATCGTGCCAGTTCCGCCTTACCATAGTTGGATTCGCCGACGCAGGTGAGGGTAACTAAAAAACTAAAACCATCCTTGTTTATCTAGAAAATGTAGCATTATTAAACGTCTTTGCATTTTAAAAGTAAACTTTTAAATAAACCTCTTCGCTTTTCGTCAATTGATAGAGCTGATGCGCTATGCCACTGCGAATCACCTGAGCGAAAAACTGACTCTCCCTTTGGAAAACATAATTAATTACAAATATACCGCCGTAACTTTATTTTCATATACTTACTGTAAGATGTTTGTTAATGAGCTTGCGAAGTTGTTGTTTGTGCCAAATGTATTTATGGCCTTGATAAGCGCAGTCATAGTTTCAGATTTTCCCAGCTCGCCTCGTTTGTTGATGAGCAGGGTAACGCGGAAAAGCAGATTTTCCAAGTGATCCAGAGTACTGCGAGGCATATTACCCAGCTGTGGTAGTTTTTGGTATGGCACATCTTGACTCTGTTCATCGTCTTCTTCTTTATCAAGCAAATTGTCTTCGATTGTCTCATTGGATTGGCAGGCAATGTCCAGTAGTCTCATTATCTCCGAATTATCGGCAGTGCTATTGTTTGCACTTTGACGAAGAAGAAAGCTAGATTCATCAGCGGTATCAACATTGGCTGGATTTGCTTCGTTATTTGTCTCAGTGGGGCCATCCTCATCATCCTCCTCATCACTGCAAACGGGTGAATACGTTTCATCATCAGAAGCATCCTCTGCAAAATATCAAAATGTGTGAGTATAATTTCTAATCTTAACGTACATGCCGGTAACTACCTTCTAGTTTAAACAAATTGTTGCCAACTGGCGACATGCTCCGGGAGCTGCAAGGACTTGAGGGTGTGTTATATGAACGGGGTGAACTGCTTGGAGACTCGCAATCAATAAGGAATGCCTTATCTTGCACTTTAATCATCTGTCAGGAAAATATGTTGCTAGTGTTTAGTTTATTAAAGTCTTGTTTTGTAAGTATTTACCTTGCTTTTGGATTCCACACAAACTTCTGTCGGTAGCTTCCGTTTCTTGGAATTTTGCTGTTTTTCTTCGCGTTTCCTCTTATAATATTCCTCATCGCTGGTCAAGAAGGTGTTGAGTTCGCCTATAATTACTGGTACCAGACCTTCTCTAAGCATCAAATCCATGCTCATGTTATCATATTGAAAATTGTTTAATAAATATAAGATCTGGTGGAAAACGAGTACATAGGTACAGTTAGATTATATTTCAAGTGCAAGTGGATGGAAATACTCTGTAGAGATACATTCACATTACAGACTTATGCATTACCTGAGACTTTTCCGTATTTGACTGTGAATCACGAACCATTGCAATGAGCTTTCTTAACGCGCCCGAGCGTCTTATTTTGGCACGATTGCAGGCATCTGGAGATAGCATACAAATAATGTGAATACAATGTCGTTTTTCACTTTCAGTTAATGGTCTTGTCATATTTTCGGCAACGAGTAATTCACAGGCGGCCACCACTGCATCTGCGGAACTCAGCATGTGAAATGAATCCAATTGCTTTGAGAAGTTTGAAATGATTTTCAAGGCTACTCCGCGTTGTGGATTTTCTTCTGTAATGAAGAACGTTATTGCCGCAAAAGTGCAATTACTGCTGCTTAGCGCCTAGAAAAAGTGTCGTTAATTATGATTAAACATTTTGGTTTTAAATTATTGTGCCTTACCTTCCAAGCAGATGGTCCAATTGGAAGCTCAGCCAATACGAGCAAGCATTTAAAAATTTCACCGGCCAAATCCAAGGCTGCACGCTCCTCTGGCATAGCGTAGTCACCCAAAGAGCGTGGTTGGTTTTTCAACAATTCGTGATCGAATATATCACTACGTACACCTTCCAGATTACGTGCTACCTCTTCAAAATATTTTTCACGATGCTGGCTGTTCTTTAGGCCAACGACAGGTGCTCTTCCACTTCCATTCTTGAACAGTTCTTCTTGTGGTGTTCGTGGAGCGTCTGTCTTCATGACGGCAGTTAAAATGCGTACCATCATTACGAAACCATTTGCAGCGAGGAAATGTTGTGTGAATTGTTGACTGGGTAGCAAAAATCTACAGGCCCGAAAAGCCATGAGCCGGGTATTCACATCGCTCGTTTCGGTAATTATTTGACAGACAGCCTGGGCAATGGCAGGACAGTGTGCAGTAAGCAATTGGCTGGCAAATCCTTTCGCAAGATTTCCCAGCAATCGACAGGCGCGACACTGTATAACAGGATTAGGAATTGACTTCAAAATTGTAGTCAGTGCAAAAGCCACCTTATACTGTAGTGCCTGAAATTGGAAAATACAGGATAAGAATTTGTATAATTTAACCGAGTTATTTACCTCTTTACAGCTTTCTTCATCTGTACAACAGTTTCCCAGAATACTCAAGGCTATCTCCAAAATGTTTTCGTGTGGCTTATTGAGGAAGCGCACCATGGGTGGTACCCCACCAGCTAGCCGGAAAAGTACGATACCGTCTTGGTCCTTCACTACATCTGTGCGCAACTTCACAAGACCCTTGATGACCACACTCTTGTCCGTAGAAGTCTTAAGCACGGTCAGGATGTTTTCCACTAATTCCCGATTCATTTATCTATATTTTGTAAAATTTTAAGAATATTATATTTCCAAGTGCTTTTAAGGCAAGGACAAAATTACATATTGCAGAAGCTTAAGCCAATTGGCTGTCAAAGGCGTCAACAGAGAAAAAAAGAAACGAAAAGAAGATACGATGATGAAAGCAAAAAGAAACGAGCAAAAAAAACGGGTCAGCTGTTTTTGAGTTATGCTATTTTTGTGGCTGCTTGGATAACAATTGTTCCATTGTTTATAGCGGAAGGAATATTGAGAAGTTATGAAGCGGCATCTTCAATTGAGCATTAAACAAGTGAGTTTGAATTAAAATATTTAGTTCATGCTTACAATATTTCAATTTAACGTTTTAAGCTGTCGAGCTGCTACGCGGATGGTAGTATTTCGCCACGTTTGGTTGTGGACCACTCGCTCGACGATGCTGTGAAACTGAAGCACTTGAATGCTTTTATACGATTATCACCGGAAAAGGCCTTACATGAAGCTAAAGAGTCTAGTTATCGTTACGAGAACAAGGAGCATCAAGGGGTACTTGATGGAGTTCCGATCGCGATCAAAGATAACTTTTGCACGAAAGACCTAACTACGACTTGTGCGTCAAAGTAACTGCTCACATATTTTTTATTGAATAAAATAAAGAGATTTACATTTTTATTAAATATTAGAATGTTGGAGAATTTCATACCACCTTTCAACGCCACTGTCTGTGAACGGTTGTCGTCTGCTGGAGCGATTCTAATTGGTAAAACAAACATGGATCAATTCGCTATGGGATCTGGAACAGTGGATTCAATTTTCGGGCCTACAAGAAATGTATGGAGTCGAGATTTAAGCGATCAAAAATGGCATATATCTGGTGGAAGCTCCGGTGGATCTGCGACGGCCGTAGCTGCGGGTATTTGTTATGCGTGAGTACTGTTTTATAATACGTTGTTTTTGAAAGTTGTATGGAAACATTTTTTCTAACAAAAATGTCCGCTTAACCCTATACAACTTCAACATGCAACACTGTAGTGTCAAGATTTGTTATCTTTCAACGCCACTAGTTCGTTTTTGTAAACACTATATACTGTGGTAAACACAACCTCAAACTACTGGCGTACACCCGCACAATTCCAATTAATTATTTTAAACTTTTATTCAGAAATGTGCGCTTTGTTAAATTATGTATGAAAACAATATCTTCGAAAGTTCAATTTGCGTTTATTCCTGAAGAAGCCCTTTAGAACCTCCCTCGCTTAATTACATAACATAGCACAAGTGCATTTCTCTTAAACAATTAGTTTTGATAAAAAGTTCAATTATGTAAATTTAAATTATAATTTCTACGCCGTCAAGTTCTTCGTCTGATGGCAGGTTCATTGAGGCGGGATCCACGTAGTTGGGATTTATTAAATCGACGCCAGCTTTTTCACGGCGACGCAATTCAAGATAAGCTTCTCGTTGGGCCCAATCGCGCAGCATTGGATCTGGCGAATATGACCAAAGGAATGTGCCCCAAACCAAGCAAAGCGTTACAGCTGTGAAAAAGCTGAGTTTTGTAGTGTTGCGGTCGTTAACTTTATCCTTGTAGTCGAATCCATAGCTCACCCAGTTTTTTGGATTGGGGTTGGCAAAATCTTCCTTAGTAGTAGGCGCAACGACCGCGGCAGTATCGTCCTTTTTCTGAGACGTTTTGATGGTGCGTGAGAGACGCAGCACAATGCTGTTCTGCAGGACGTTCCGATTGGCCAGGCGGAAGAGTGCCGACATTTTCCTTAAATTAAAATTACGTGAAAATCGCTATAAAATTTTCCTGGTAATTGGTATATTTAGTTTTTTTGCACTCCAGATAATGACAGCCACGGCAGCGAAGTTGCAGAGAATTGACAAATGTCAAATATACATTGCGTTGCCAACGCATGATAAACAGTGTTGCCGTTTGATCCATATACTTCAAAAGTGATACGGGTTTGTGCAAATTTTTGGAATCCAACAAACATTTAGGTTTGAGCTCAACTTGAGGTTAAGTTGAGAACTAAGGTATTTCTCAAATCTCCAACGTTGCTTCTCAACAGTACCTCAAGTGGAGGATCATAGCGTTCTCAACAAAAAGGGAATTTTTCTTTGCATGAAAAAAGGACTGTTTCTCAAGTTGAGAAAATGGTAGTTCTCAACTTGAACTCCAATATAATTTTCCCATTGGTCTCAAACATATCATTGAGATACTGAAACTGAAATAGTAAAATACCGTATACATTTTTGATTGAAGAGGCATACATAGATGAATTTAAATATTAATTTTTCATTTTATTACTCCTTTTGTATTATGTAGTTAATCACTATCGTATTACAATAATTCCCTTCACAGTATACACAGTATATTTATTTTCTTTCAAGATTATTTGAGGATGCTTTGAAGATTATTTACTTTTAGTTAGAAATTGTCTTCTTTATATAGCTTTCGTTTTTCACTTGATTATTAACAAGTAATTTTTAGCAAAAAAAACCGTCTTCAACTCTCATATAAAAAATATATATATATATATATATCTCATGATCCACTGATCGGATCTTAACCAGATTAGTATGGGACTACCTCTGATACACTATCTTTCCGATACAAAAATTATCGAAATCGGTTTACGTGGTCCAAAGTTATGCGGTAGCATACATAAAAAAAAAAAAATATATATATATATATATATATATATATTCCGACGAACTGATCACCTCCTCCTTTTTTGGAAGTCGGTTAAAAATTAGTTTCTCTATCACTTTTTACGTATCTGCGCGTCGGTTAGAGATGAGTTGGAGAATGATGTTGAATATCAACTTGAGAACTATGAATTTCTCCAAGGCTGGAGAAATATTTTTTTTTTTGGTGTTAATTGGGAAGATACTTAATTTTTTCGCTCATTTCGCAAAGTACTTAAATTTTCCGGGTAGTACAAATTTTGATACATGGCAAAAAGAAAATATATATGTATCTAGGCAATGGGGGCTTTTAAAATTTGATCGAAAGTATTGAAATGGTTTGTGGTCTAATAAGCTTAGGGAATAATGTATCACATAATTTGATAACTACCGTAAATGATCGACAAATTGTAGTTTTAAGTACTTATATTTGTATTTAAGTTTCTATGAAATATTTTAGTTCGTCTTTATACAAGTTTAAAAACAATAATCTATTCTGATAGTATGTGATTATATGTAAGATATTTTCATTCATGTACATAAACATGTATGTGTATAAATGTGAATTAATTGATTTATCGGTTATTGACAATAATAAAAAGCAGTGCTATAGAACCAAATAGCATTTTTTGAACAATATTTTCTAACTTGATACTTAACCCTTAGCCACCTAACGTCTTTTTTAGACACTCTACCACCTAACGTCGGTCAAGGTGACCCCTTACTTAATTTTAGTGTTTATTTATAAATATAATAATAAAACACGCAAAAACCGCACATAACTCTTTTGTACCTTTTATTTAATTAATATTAACAAAAAATTAACTTAAAAGAAGTTTCATACTTCAATAACATTTTTTATTCATTGTTATACGAATTTTGTAAGAAAACGTAGATACTTTTATAAAATGAGATCTAATTAGGAAACAATATTCGAAATTAAAATTTTTTTCTTTTTTTATAACTTAAAAACATGGACTTCAACAATAAATTGTTTTTGGCGCGATTAAATCGCAATTGAAATAGTTTTTGTAAATAAAATTTGTAAATAGTAATTTTTGTAATAATAAATAGTTTTTGAATTGGTACACGTGTTGACTGCCTGATTGCACAAAACGAACTGACGAGAGAAAAGAAAAAGTACATAGACGGACAACTGCGCAGCTTGCATAATAACGGGAATACTTAAAAAATAAAAAACGGTAGAGTCACTGTGACCGGCGTTAGGTGGCTAAGGGTTAAAAAAATTTTTTGAGTTACATTTGATCCATTTTTTTTTACGATACATTTTTTCATGACATCGCGACAACACTGATAAACCGTGCTACCCACTGAAAATTTTTAAAACCTAAAATCTTTTAAATGACTTTGCATTTATCCTTCACCGGATATCAATTTAAATGGCTCCGGTAAAAAGCTCAATCCGTTATTTAGTAGAGATTTGTTACCCGTAACTAAAATAAAATATAAATAAATACTAATATTAAAACCTCTTTAATTTATAAACATTATATTAATTTAAGCTTTCACTAATTTTTTTTTTTTAGGTCTATCGGGTCAGATACTGGGGGTTCTACTCGTAATCCCGCAGCATATTGTGGCGTTGTTGGCTTAAAGCCCACATATGGTCTGGTGTCACGTTATGGTCTCATACCTTTAGTGAATTCCATGGACGTACCCGGCATTTTTACGCGGAGTGTTGGTGATTGCTTGGATATACTGAATGCAATCGCTGGGCCAGATGCTAAAGATTCCACTACATTGAGAAACCCCTTCCGAAAAATAGAAATACCATGTTTTGAAGATATAGATCTTCGAAATGTTCGAATTGGTATACCTAAAGAGTACCATTGCGAGGGACTTTCCGGTGAAGTTTTGGAAACGTGGATGAAGGTCGCTGACTTATTAGAAGATGGTGGAGCTCAAGTGCAGCAAGTTTCACTACCGAACACGGCGGCAAGTATTTTCGTATACTCGATATTGAATCAGTGTGAAGTAGCTAGCAATATGGCGCGATACGATGGCATAGAATATGGACATCGTGCCGACAATGAAAGCAGCACAGAAGAGTTATATGCAAAGACAAGAGCTGAGGGATTTAACACAGTGGTAAAAACACGTATACTAACTGGGAACTACTTTTTGTTGCGTAAAAACTATCAGAAATATTTTGAAAAAGCTCTGCGTGTTCGAAGACTAATATCCGAAGATTTCAAACATGTATTTGAAAGGCCTAAAGACGGTGAAAATGTAGTGGACGTACTACTCACACCCACCACCTTAACAGATGCGCCGTTGTATAGCGATTTTGTATCCCTCAGTAATCGCGATCAGTGTGCTGTCCAAGATTTCTGCACGCAACCCGCTAATATGGCAGGCATACCAGCTATCTCAATACCCATACGACTCTCCAAAACCGGTCTACCGATCGGGTTACAATTAATGAGTCGCTCTCTAAACGAGGAAATGCTGTTACGGGTGGCTAGCTGGATAGAGGCACAAGTAGAATTCGACTGTCTGGCTAATGAACAAATTTATGCAGCTCGCAGCTAGGATTATTGCTAATAACCAGCACTGTAATGTTTTATTATTCAATTCTAGGGTACAATTCTTGATTTATTTATAAAAGATGCAGCTCATTGGAAAATATAGTTACATATTTTTCATTAATTCTCAAAGACCCTAAACAAGATTTTTGTTTGAAACTGCGTTTTTCGAAGATTTTGTTAGGAGGTATTAAAGTACACCTTCAATTAAAATTTTAAAATGTTAGTACCCAAAACAGTGGAGTTGCATGCCGCTTTTTAAAAAGTCCCACCTGTTTTTGATACTATTTTTAAAATGTTTTTTGCTTCTCCAGTAAAATAAGAAATTTGTTGGTTAAGGCCTTTGTGAATTAAGATAACGATATGCAAAAACTTAAAAATGGTTCCTAATTTATAACGTTGGTTATCAAAATACACAATGTTCATAGTCGTTTAGGTGCTTAACCTTAATTAATTTCAACCAAAGCAATATTTGTATTACATAAATATTCTTAACAATGTAAGTATGCTTGTATTTTTCGCCAGTTTAATGAATTGTGTTGTATGGTTTGTTTTGCTTAGGCCGTCTTTGTATCCCGTGTGACTGCGAGGAAACTAAAAATATTGTCATAGTTATGTACTTAAGTGCATACATACTGCGTATTTTAGTAAAACGAATGTGCTTTTTTTACTAACCTTTTCTAAGATTTTGTAATTGACGCACATATTTCTTATGTTCTGTACGATTTAACCGAAACGTTCCAGACGCTCCATGACCGGTAGTTTGACACAGCTTTCCAGTGGCAATAGAAGATGCAATGTATTGTGACACAGGTTTTGAAACTGAAAATTATTAAACACACTTTAAAAACTTAAATTAATTATTTGCAATAATATTAACCTACAAGTAATAGGATTGTACGAATGATTCTCTCTTATGGCCTTTTTGATCGCATATAAAGAGACCCCTCTCCGTTTTTTAAAAGTATGCGAAAATATGCATTCATCAACTAATTTTCGCAATTTTAACTCATAATGCGTTACGTTTAAACCAGTAATAGATGATTCAACATTTAACATTTCTTCCCGCGTCTGATTAAACATAAGTGGCCGAAGGTGTTCCACTTGGCTTACATTTTTCAGCATCGAATTTTGTATACGTTTAATCTAAAGCGAAATTTGTAGTGTTTAATTATTAGTGTTTTCAAGATCACTAAATTATTTTTTAGTTTACAGGGCTGTTAATATCCTCCCGCTTACGCTGGTGATGATTAGGCGTAGAATGTGTGACAGTACTTTGTGTTTCTCCATATAAATCAGCCCGAATTTGGTTAGACCGAGGTGAAGTGTGACAAATATCGCGACTGCGAAGCTTATGTACCATTTCAGTGGGATTTTAATTAGATCACACTGATGAAGTATATATGTATAAATTTAGATGAAAACAAACTTGAATATAATTAAATTAACTAAAAACAAAGTTTATGAAAATCACTGGAATCAAATATTACACTGCAAAAGCTATTTTATGTAGCATTAGCAAGTTGGTATTTATTTCCGTTAGAAATAATGTTTTCGTACTGCTAGCAATGGGTGCGTTTAATCTTACTTTAAGAGCAATTATGTATGCAAGAATGGTGTGAATTCAGTACAGGTTTAATATTGTTTCATTTTCTTTAAACCGCTAGACGGTGAAATGCACAGTTCTATTACAAAAAAAAAAAAAATAAAATGAATAAAACAATTATTGCACTTTTGAGAAAACTTTGCAGTAATGTATTTTATTTGAAAGCATAAATATGTATATAAATTCTGTTATTTCACATTGAATAAACTTATAAATACACACATACAATTGAAATAAAATAAAATTTAATGAAATGCAATACTTGTATGGCAGTTCGGAGCACTCCGGTTGATGGTGCTGATAATCTTATATAACGATGACTTTCACGGATAAAATTGTATCATACTTAGCTAGTCATCCTTCCCTCCTTAGTGCTACCGATGCCAACATTATTTCCTTTGTTGTCATTGGCAAAGAAAATGCATGCAATCACTTCCCTTTGACTGCGCTGATAATCATACGGAATGCGCTATTGCAAGACAACACCCAGAATGGCACAGATATCGCATGGTCTATCTCTGTTGGGAAGCTCAGAAGTACACCAATTGGTTCAAAACTTACACTTTCATTAAACACAATCACGGGTGTATATCGGTTGCGCAGAGTTAATATGAAAAGAGCTAATGAGATAATACCTTTTAGAAGGTAGGTGACAATAAGTTCGACGGATGCACCTTTAAGACGTTGCATATTGCCTTCACTACGAATCTTCGATTGTATGGCTTTAAGTTCGTTTTCAGCTCGCATCAATTTTACGGTATACGTGTAGTGACTTGTAGCAGCGGCTGACTGCCGCACGCGCTCAACTTTATCGCGAGCTTCTTTTAGTTGCTGTTGTAGCTCATCGTTGGAGCCAGATCCGGAAACACATCGAAATATTCTGGATAGTTGCAGCTATTAAATAAAGTGATGAATTAATTGTTATCACATGGGTTCTAGGCGGCACCACTCACCAATTTGACGAGGTCCCCTATAATAGCCAAAAGCAGGCACAGCGTCGCAATAGTTACCAAAAGGAACATTTTTTGTGTGAAATGGACAGAGAGCGTTTAAGGCCAGGTGGATAAAATTCCGTTGTGCTATAATAAAGTTTTCTTTATAAATTGTGGTTTTAATTTTTATTGTGGCCTTATTCTTTTTGTTTTGGTCACTGATTTTAATAAAATGATGCCATCCTGTTTAGAAAATTATTCCCGTTCTTTAAGTAGCTGTTAGACGTGGCAACTGCTAGTCCTTAAGGCTGTCAAACTCATGAATTTCCAAAAGAGCAGGTGCAGTTAAGAGCATGTCAGACTTTTCAATATTTCGCAATTTTCACGCAATTCGCTTTCAGTTGAGAAAATAAAATTTTATTTCCATGAGAATAACCAGATAGACCTTTCTGTCACTTTTCGGAAATAAGTTTCGGAAATTAAAGTTGCAAGGTGTGACTGCAACTAAAAGCGCGCAAATCGATTTCGGAAATATATTTCAACTTGCTTTAGCAGCACTGGCAATCTGCAATTCGCCTTTCGTAAATAAAAAAGTACTTCACCGTGTAAACAGACAAAGAGTAGTTCCCACGTTCCCACGACAGTCGGGTCTACGTAACCGGAACGACCCAGATTTATATTTGGCCAAGGACTGTCACTCCAGCAACACTCCCCAAAAACCCTTTGGGGAACTTGCATGCTGCTGCAACAACAACAATAAAAAGTAGTAATGAAAATTGCTGGTGCAGCACGAGCAAGTTGAAATTATTTCTCGAAAGCAATTTGGGTAATTTCAGGTGTAGATACACCTTGCAATTTTTATTTCCAAAAATGATTTCTGCAAATCTGCAAACAGGATTTTCTGGCTGTTTACACGAGTAACTAGCCTTTCGCATTTTTACAGCTACTTGGGGAGAAAAAGCGCTTGCATTGCCACATTTAACTGCACTTCACATAAATAAATAAAACACTTTCGAAAGCGTTTTAATTCCTGAAAATCGAAGTTCCGGATACTATTTTTTGTCTATTTACACGTTGAATGTAGAAAATTCCACTTTCAAGACATTTGTAGGCATATAACAAAGAGAGCGTATGTATATAGCTTTGCCTCCGGTAAGCTACTGGATAACTTCACTGGAAAATATATGAACAGGCCTAATGACATTTTTTATCCATTTACAGCACTGTCAAATTGTTGTTGCAAAATTTAAAGCACAACAAAAAACGTAATAAGGAAATTTTCCATTTATCGTAGAATGACTGATCAGGAGCGCGCGGGTGTTGTAATTATATCCCAAAAATATGAATTGCTACCGGCTCCAATAGCGCCTGGATCTTATCGCGGTTTGAAGCGATGTCCAGAATGTGGACAATTGAATGGTGTACGAAGCTCTGTCTGCCGTAATGAAGACTGCCAATTGAGGAGGGATGCACTGCGTTTACGAGTGCCCTTAGATCCCATTCGCTTAGAGTGCTTAGATGATGGCAAATTCCTATACTCTTTACGATGTAGGGGAAAAAATGCCCAACCACGTAGTTTTGTCCTTTTGAATTACTCAAGTGGACGGGAATCAGGTTCGTTAGAGTGCTACTCTTGTGCCTCTAAAAGCACTAACAGTTCGGAGCTATGCAAACATATCTTAGCTTGCAATTCCCCAAATATAGCAAAAGCAGAAGTTTTTCCCATCTCCCGCGATGTGCTTTGGAATTTAAACAGTTTAGATGATGAGCACAAAGAACGCCTCTGGAATATTTGTCAGCAAGAGGAAAACAACGTGCCTGCTGTGCAGCGCATTTCTAATTCATTATTTGTAGTCAAATGTGATGAGTCGAAAGTTTTTCCAGCTGGCAGACTGCACGTTACAGCTGTATGTAATGGTGTATCAACGCGGAAGGGTGTATATTCCTGCTCCTGCAAGAAACTAAAGATTATAGTCGAGCCAGACAACTCAGTCGTAATGCAAGAAGAAGTGTGTGACCACATTTTGCTAGTTTTAGCAGCTGTCTTAAGCAACCGAAAAGGTAAAACGGCGTATGGAAACTTTACAAGTGCATTAAAATCCTTCTGGATGCCAACAAGTATCGAAACACCAATCGTAGACTCCACGCAGGAGGATGCACTTTTCGGTTTAAGCATAGACATTGGTGGGAACTTTAACATGGAAAGCAGCGATGGCCGACAAACAGACGATATATTTATTTATAATAATGATTTTATGTCTGATGAGGTAAGTTATTGTATAACATATCGACAAAATATTAGGGCGATTCATCTAAACTCGTAAATGCCTTGTAACCGTGGGAACCTCGTAAACCTACTTAATTTTGTATGGAAAATCGTCGGTTTCTTTACGAGGCTTCCGCAGCTAGGAGACATTTACACATTTCCATGAATACCCATATTTTTAAAAACAAGAATTTCGCATACGTTCTTCAAAAGTGAACTAACTCAATTTTCCTGTTGGTCAGAAAACGTAAAAAACCATATTTGATACCAAGTTTTTAAAGGACGTGTGTGACATATTACTTTTTGCCTCTGGCCTCATTTGAATACCACCATTATACAATTCTTAGATCCCTTAGAAATCAACGATAATTTCATTAATTACAAATGCACAGAATATTCCAGATTTTGAGGATATAATCCTAAATTATCCACCCCGTTTAGAGGATAATAACGCGGATAATGCCACATTAACAAATTCAACAACAAACACCAATGACAACTTACATCCTGGAGATCCTAATTTAGGTTTAAGTTTCGCCGTTACGGCAGAAGACGCAGAAGACACACGGTTGCATAATGGTCCCTACTTCAACGATGTGAAAACGGAGCCATCCAATCTGACAAATAGCTTAACGACGGCGCACCTAGAATTAAGTGATTGTAAAATTGAGCTAATGGATCAGTTTGAACTCACTGATCAAATAGACCTATCAACCACTGACGATATCACACTACAGCAAGAGCAAACATGGCTTGGCAACGGTATAAGTATTCTTGAAGCACCAGTATTAAATAGTACAGCACCATCTACTGCCTGCACTGAAGTATTATCGCCTGTCTTAAAAGCATCGAACACACACCACACTTCTTATTACAATAATAATTCGTTGCTAAAATCCAACCAAGTATTGGAAGCACCACCGATCGAATTACCGACTATTGCTATGGTTAAAAAGTGCCCTGTAAAAGCGTCGGAGCTGGTCAATGAAGTTAATACACGTAAATTTCCTCCACTTCCAGCAAAGAGATCATTAATTGTTAATGGAACAAATCAGTCGGAACAGCAGCAATCGAATGATGGAAGTCAAGTTTCGGACGTTGGCGAACCGTCGCTTGCTTTTTCAGCTTGGTTAGATTATGTCATTGAAATACTCAACGAAAGTATCAGCATTGTGGAAGAGAGAAGTGTAGAACATACCTTTCATGTGCATGAGGTTTGATTTTCTTGTTTGTTTATTTTAATTCAAAACACAACTATATACATACTTGCTTTTTTAGGAAATATTTGCGCATTTCAGCAAACGTTTCAGCGCCGGCATCAAGCTCCGCGTACCGAACAGTACTACGGTTGTGAAGGCAGGAAAATATAAGGGACTCATAAAATATGTTTGGTACTTTACAAATGCATCAACAGTACGACGAATTTTTACATCAAAAAATGTAAGCTTACGTCATTAAGCCGTTTACATTATTTATCTTTAATATTTTTGGTACCATTCCGCCTTTCCTCCCAGATCTCACTGGAAACCGAACGTATTTTTGAGTACAATGCTGACGGTGTGTTTGTGCCTTTTGAGGCACAACGTATTTTACCCGGTACGAACGTTAAACACAAACGTATTTATCCAAAGCTTTCACTCTATAAGACAAAAATATGGTTCGATAGCGGTAAAAGCGTAAGTTTTCAAATATTGTTTTTGAAAAAAAAAAACTTGAAATTTAATTTAAATCGATATTAATTTGCTTTTGTAGGAATATAAAAACAGTTTCAAACTAGAATGGCTGCCCAGTGCCTTTCCAAGAAGTCACCATGGCATATTGAAACTCGAGTTTTCAGTATGTG